CAGCAGGCACCAAAGGGCTAAGAAAAATTTAAAGAGGTGATTTTGTTCATCACTTGAAATGTTTATGAAGAAATTGGGACAGAGTTTGTATTATGTGTGTTTTGCAACGGGGGAGAGAAGACTCCAAAGGCCCCATTTGCTTACCTGGTCCCCGTGCCTCAGAAGCCCTCTGCTCACTCCTAACCTGCTAACCTTTGATGATTCAGTTCAACAGTCATGGCATCGGAAGCCCTCCATGTGCCGCCGGGCTGGGCCCTGTCACTATGATGTACGGAAATGGTCTGGGTATGTGGGCTCTCTCTCCCTAGACATAAAGTCCTTGATGGCAGTTGTTGTGGCTAGGTGCCATCAAGTCTGTTCCAACTCATAGCAACCCTGTGTACAACAGAATGAAAAACTGCCTGGTCCTGGGCCATGCTCACAATTGTTGCTATATTTCAGCCCATTGTTGCTGCCACTGTGTCAGTCCATCTTGTTGAAGGTCTTCCTCTGTTTTGCTGACCCTCTACTCTACCAAGCATGGTGTCCTTCTCCATGGACTGGTCCCTCCTGATAACATGTCCAAAGTACGTGAGACAAAGTCTCGCCATCCTCACTTCTAAGGAGCATTCTAGCTGTACTTCTTCCAAGACAGACTTGTTCATTCTTCTGGCAGTCCATGGTGTATTCAATATTCTTTGCCAGCACCATAATTCAAAGGCATCAATTCTTCTTTTGTCTTCTTTATTCATTGTGCAGCTTTTGCATGCATATGAGGTGATTAAAAATACCATGGTCTTGGTCTCAGGGGACAACTGGCATAACATAGTTTACAAAGAAAATGTTCTACATCCTACTTTGGTGAGTAGTGTCTCGGGTCCTAAAAGATTGCTAGCAGCCATCTAAAATACATCTATTGGGCCCATCATGTACAGAGCAAAGGAGAATGAAGAGAACCAAAGACGTAAGTAAAATAGCCATCCAAAGGACTAATGGACCACATGAACCACAGCCTCCAACAGGCAGAGACCAGAAGTGGTGCCTGGCTACCACCACTGACCACTCTGACAGGGATCACAGTAGAGGGTCCCGGACAGAGTGGGAGAAAAATGTAGAACAAAATCCAAATTCACCAAAAAAAGACCAGATTTACTGATGTGATAGAGACTGGAGGAACCCCCAAGACTATGGTCCCTGGACACCCCATTAACTCAGAACTGAAGCCACTCCAAAGTCCACCTTTCAGCCAAACACTAGACAGGTCTATAAAATAAACAATAACACACGTGAGGAATCTGCCCCTTAGTTCAATCCAGTATACAAGACCAATTGGGCAACACCTGCCCAAAAGCAAAGACTAGAAGGTAGCAAGGGACAGAAACCTGGATAAATGGACATGAGGAACCTAGGGTGTAAAGGAAAAGGGGGAGAATGTTGATACATTGTGGGGATTGAAACCAATGTTACAAAACAATTTTTGTATACATTTTTGAATGAAAAACTAATTTGCACTATAAACTTTCACCTAAAACACAATGTAAAAAAAAAAAAAGAATAAATTCTACTCAGCCATAAAGAAAAATGAAGTCCTGATACATGCCATGACGTGCATGAACCTCGAAAACATCATGCTGAGCGAAATAAGAGGCAACAGACATACACTATATGATTTCACTTATACAGAATAAGCAAATATATAGAAGCCAAATATTATTACTGGTTACCAGATGTGGGAGAGGAAGGAGGAGGGAGAAGCTTTTGTTTAGGAGGCACTGAGTTCGTGTTAAATGTGGTGGAATGATTTGGAAAATGGTAGTGAGAATGGTTGCACAACTTGAAGAATGTAATCAATGTCACTGAACTGGACAGGTAGAAACTGTTCAGATAGTATATGTTATGCATATTTTCACCGCAATAAAATTTAAAAAAAAGAATTAAGTCCTCTTGAATTATCCTTTTGATGCAATTTAATGTATTATGAAATAAAACTCCGAAGAAACTAAAAAAAAAACCCTGGCTAGGGTCAGACACACTTTAGTCCTCAAAGTGACTGACACCTTTGCTTTTCAACACTTTAAAGAGGTCTTTTGCAACATATTTGCCCAATGCAATATGTTGTTTTATTTCTTGACTGCTGCTTCCATGGGTTTTGATTGTGGATCCAAGTAAAATGAAATCCTTGACAACTTCAATCTTTTCTCTGTTTATCATGATGTTGTTTATTGGTCCAGTTGTGACGATTTTTGTTTACTTTACGTTAAGCTGTAATCCATATTGAAGGCTGTAGTCTTTGAACTTCATCAGTGCTTCAAGTCCTCTCCACTTTCAGCAAGTGAGGTTGTGTCATCTGCATAATGCAGATTGTTAATGAGTCTTCCTTCAATCCTGATGCCCCGTTCTTCTTCATATAGTCCAGCTTCTCGGGTTGTTTACTCAGCATACAGATTGAATAAGTATGGTGAAAGAATACAACCCTCACGCACACCTTTCCTGAATTTGAACTACAGAGTACCCCCTTGTTCTGTTTAAACGAATGCCTCTTGAGCTACATACAAGTTCTTCATGAGCACAATTAAATGTTCTGGAATTCCCATTCTTTGAAATGTTATCCATAATTTGTTATGATCCACACAGTCGAATGCCTTTGCATAGTCAATAAAACACAGGTAAACATCTTTCTGGTATTCTCTGCTTTCAGCCAGGAAACATCTGACATCAGCCATGATATCCCTGGTTCCTCGTCCTCTTCTGAATCTGGCCTGAATCTCTGGCAGTTCCCTGTTGATACTGCGGCAACAGTTTTTGATGATCTTCAGCATTATTTTACTTTCATATTGTTTGATAATTTCTGCATTCTGTTGGATCACCTTTCTTTGGAATAGGCACATATGTGGATCTGTTCCAGTCAGTTGGCCAGGTAGCTGTCTTCCAAATTTCTTGGTATAGATGAGTGACTGCTTCCAATGTTGCATCCATTTGTTGAAGCACCTCAGTTGGTATTCCAACAATTCCTGGAGCTTTGTTTTTCGCCAATGCCTTCAGTGCAGCTTGGACTTCTTCCTTCAGTACCGTTGGTTCTTGATCATATGCTACCTCCTGAAATGGCTGAACATCGAACAATTCTTTTTGATACAGTGACTCTGTGTATTCCTTCCATCTTCTTTCGATGCTTCCTGGGTCGTTCAAATTTTTGCCCATAGAATCCTTCAATATTGCAACTTGAGACTTGAATTTTTTCTTCAGTTCTTTCAGCTTATGAAATGCCGAGCGTGTTCTTCCTTCTTGGTTTTCTAACTCCAGGTCTTTGCACATTTCATTGTTATACTTTACTCTGTCTTCTCAAGCTGCCCTTTGAAATTTTTTGTTTGGCTCTTTTACTTCATCATTTCTTCCATTCTCTTTCCACAGATGCAGTCAATTTGATTCCTGTGTATCCCATCTGGCGAGGTCCACATGTATAATTGCCATTTATATTGTTGAAAAAAGGTATTTGCAATGAATAAATCGTTGGTCTTGCAAAATTCTATCATGCTGTCTCCAGCGTCGTTTCTATCACCAAGGCCGTGTTTTCCAACTACAAGTCCTTCTTCTTTGTTTCCAACTTTCGCATTCCAATTGCCATTAATTATCAATGTATCTTGACTACATGTTTGATCAATTTCAGGTTGGAGAAGTTGGTAAAAATCTTCAGTTCCTATGTCTTTGGCCTTAGTGGTTGGTGCAAAAATTTGAATAATAGTCGTATTACTGGTCTTCCTTGTAGGCGTATGGATATTATTCTATCACTGACAGTGTTGTATTTCTGCATAGATTTTGAAATGTTCTCTTTGATGATGAATGCAACACTATTCCTCTTCAATTTGTCATTCCCAGCATAGTAGGCCATATGATTGTTGGATTCAAAATGGCCAATACTAGTCCATTTCAGCTCACTCATGCCTAGGATATCTTTAAGTGTTCCATTTCCTTTTTGATGACTTCCAGTTTTTCTTGATTCATTCTTTGTACATTTCACTTTCTGATTATTAATGGATGTTTGCAACTGTTTCTTCTCATTTTGAGTAGTGCCACATCAGCAAATGAATATCCCTAAAGCTTGACTCCATCCATGTCACAAAAATCGACTCTACTTTGAGGAGGCAGCTCTTCCCTGGTGTATTTTGTGTGCCTTCCAACCTGAGGGGCTCATCTTCTGGCACTATATGAGGCAATGTTCCGTTGCTAGCTATTGAGGGCAAGGGCATACCTAATTTTTTTTTAACCTTTTATTTTGCACTTGTAAGAAATAATACAAGGTTCCCAGGTGGTACACTCAAATGCTAACCTAATAGTTGGCTGTTCAAACTCACCCAGCGGTACCCTGGAGGATAAGATCTGACGATATGCTGCCGTAAAGATTATAGCCAAGAGAACAATTTGAGGAACCCAAGGTTGAGTAG